CGGAATCTGGTTGGGCAGGAATGCTTGGGACGAGCATGTTCTGTGCGATGGAGCGAATGTTTTCACTTCCAAGGCAATCCGGAGATCAAGCAAGCCGTGGCGTGCAGGTGATTTGCAAAAGGTATCGTGTTTTCCTGGTCCTGGCAATGCAGTCAGGCAGCGTAAGGCACTGGTGAGGCCTTTGGAGCTTCCGATGCCGCACTTGGCTGAGTTGATGGCTCATCCGGAGCCCAGTGAGCCTGTTGGCCAAGGCGGGGATGAAGCAGCGAGTGATCCAGAAACTGTCGCGCCCCAAAGTGTGATTCCTGAAGGGCCGGCAGCTTCAAGACCGAGGATTGTAAGCGATGACAGGCCTCTTGCAGATTTGATGCCGAGTGGGGATCAGAGCATGGAGTTGCAGGAGGACAGCACGCATGGGAAAAGAGAGACACTGGATAGTCCGGAGCGTGAAGCCAAAAGCAGACGTACAGACGCAGGTCTCAGCAGCCCGCCATTCTTTGCTGGTGGTGCGCAGATGGTTGAAGAACTTTCTCAGGAAGCAGACGGTGACTGGGAGCTGCTGGAGTGCGATGGAACTGGTGAAGGCGATTTGGAGGAGGAAGAAGATTTGTGCAAGGAGGAGGAACCCTACGAACAGGGTGAACTGAAGCCGAAACAGTTCCCGGGTGAACACCCGCCTGAGCTTTCTGAGGAGGAAATGAACGAGCTGGATGAGGCTGCAGAAGTCATTGAGGTTGAGAGGCTCAAAAGCCTTGGTGTTCTGGTTGCAGATGATTCGGCAGATCCGAATCTGCCGAGGACAACTTTGTCCACGAGGTTTGTCAAGACGTGGCGACACCGAAATGAGCGATGGTTCAGACGAGCCAGATTGGTGGCGAGAGAGTTCAAGGCCGCCACCCCGTGGTTCTCGGAGTCGTCCACGTTTGCTCCCGGCAGTATTCAATCGACCCTGAGGCACATCTTCCTTGCGGCTTTGCATTTCGGCAACCCAGTGTGGGTTATTGATGTGAAGGACGCGTATTTGAATGTGCCCCAAGATGAGTCAGAATTTGTTTACGTGATCGAGGCACCAGCAAGCGTGTGCGGTTATTATGGTGTGCAGCACATTTCTTGGAGATGCGCGAGGCTGATCCCAGGCCAGCGCATAGCAGCCAACCGGTGGTTTGATTATGTGGATAAGCTTTTGTGCAGTGCCAAGCTTGAGAGTTTTGCGCAGGTTCCGACAATTTACAGAGGTACAGTTTGCAAAACAATGTGTGCAAGCTTGCGTGTGGATGACTTTGTGCTTTCCGGTCCTGTGAATGCAGCAGAAGGTGTCATGGACTTGATTCGGAAAACGGTGATGTTGAGTATTGCAGGCCCTTTCGTCCGGGTCGGTGACAAGTTCGAATACTTGAAGAAGGTGTTTGAGTTCGTCCCGGGTGGCATGGTCATCAGGATGAACGAGAAACACTTGGAGAAGATGGTGGAGCTTTCAGGTGTTAGTCGTTCGTTTTCCAAGAAAGTTCCGTGCCCAGCAGATGCTCTTGCGGAGGATGAGTCTGATGAGTTGGGCGCAGAGAAGACCAAGGTATATCGCAGCTTGGTCGGGGTCATGCTTTACATTGTGTCTGACAGGCCGGATATAGCCTTCGCTGTGCGAACTTTGAGTTCGAGAATGGCGAACCCCAGTGAGAAGATGTTCAAAATAGCAGTTGGATTGGTTGGTTATTTGCAATTCACACCAGGTGTGGGAATCTTGCTGAAGAAATCTTGGCCGGGAAAACGAGTGCTGGACAACAGAGATGAATCAGAGGTCAGTGGCGACAACCAGCATGTTGTTGAAGCAATTTGTGACGCTGATTTTGCGGCATGCAAAACAACGCGGCGGTCAATTTCGTCAGGTCAAGTTTTCATAAATGGATCCCTGGTGCTTGCGTTTTCGAGGACTCAACGTGCTGTGACGTTGTCTAGTGGCGAGAGCGAGTTCATGGCGTTGGTACACACGCTGTCGGAGGCCTTGCTTGTAGCAGATGCGTGGCGTTTCTTGGTGAGAGACAGGCCAACCGAACTTGAGGCGCGGTCGGATTCCAGTGCCTGCAGAGGCATAGCGAACAGACGCGGTGTTGGCAAGGTGAGACACTTGGACGCTGGCGCTTTGTGGATACAAGGCGCAATTGCAGAGAAGAAGGTTTCTTTGAAGCCGATCGGAACTATGTTCAATCCGGCCGATATTGGAACGAAGCCGTTGACGGGCTACAGACTTAGGATGCTTTGTTGCTTGGTTGGAATGGTGAAGAAGGACAATTCAGCATTTGGAGAAGATGAGCTTTTGGAGGCAAGGCAAAAGGAATTGGTTGGCAGCTCAAACTACAAGAAGCTGATTTGCCTTATTTCGGCATTGCAGATTCGTGGCTCGAGAGGAGAAACCAACGCTGACCGATTTTCTTATGGACGTGGATTCCCGGATGTATGCTTTGGTATGTGTGCAGTTTTCTTTCTCATGGCAATGTTTTTCAATGGATTGTCAGGTGCCCGTGCGAGAAAAGACGCGTTTTCATTTACATTTGCGGTCTTTGCAGCCATGGTTGTGTGCAGTATGGGGCAGCCTGATGGTGAGAGAGATCGAGATAATTTCGATTGGTTCATGTGTGCAGTGATGTTTTCGTTTGCAGTTACAACATGCGTGATGGTTTATGCCTTTTATCTGTGCATTGCATGTTGTTGGAACCGAACGGTTCGAGAACTGCAGTAGAGGTGGAAAATGAAGATCCACCTGTGGTGGATGCAGAACCAGATGAGGTGTTGGAGTTTCAGGTTGATAGCCAACAGCTTGTGAGTGCAAGTGGTCAGGATCGAGTGAGTGCTCGAGTTGGTAGTTCGGGCGTGGTGAATCGTGGTGCTGCAGCATGCAGCAATGCAAATCCGGCTGGTGGTGGAGCACCCGACCATGATATGGGTGGTCATATGCCACCATTTCATTTGAGGTATCCGCTGGTTCATTTCCTTTGGAGGACCCCTGGAGAAGATTTGGGGCCGGTGGTTTACATTACCAGAAGTGGTGCTTTCTACCACGATCTTTCATGCAGATGGATTCAAGGTCGACAGTCCACGGAGGTGGAGCTAGAGAATGCTATCCAACGTGGCTTTGCTCAATGCAGAACCTGTCGTGGTGGATTTCCAATCGGAAGAGTTCCATACAATGTGCCGGCGCGTGGGCGCAATTCCAAGCCTAAATATGGCTGAGACGCTTTTGGAAGCTTTTGTGTACAGAATGCTTTGTGCGTCAGTTTACTTTTCTGGTGTGAATCACGGCTAGCGCCGAGATTCAAGGCGGGGTGTTAAGATATGTGCATAGTCACAGACCCCGTGTGGAACACATGTCACATGGTTGTACAGTTGATAGGTTGTGGATATGTTTCCTCGGATTAACATTGGCTCAAGACAACATGCGCGTGAGGGTTTAGTGCGGTCCTCACATTTAACGAAAACAGATGATGTTCATGGGAAGTTCTGAAAACAAAAAATGCCAGCAAATCATAATTTGTTTATCATTGTTCATTGTTTCATTATTTGCATACTGTGCTCATATTGGTTCATCATTGTTTCATCATCTCGTCATTTGTTTATCCTTTTTTTGGTAAACTCGTTGTTTTTTCGTGATTTGTAGGTTGTCTTTTGTCTGGCTGCCCGAAGATCTCTTAAGTCTATCATGTGTGCTGTGTGCCTGATTCATTGTGTATATATATATATAGTTAGTTCCGCTGTTTTTTTCTTGCATGGTCGGCTCTTTTCTCTCTCGGGGCAACGCCCGTGACCAATGCTTAGAAGCCGCAGGTACCTCTCGGGCAACACCCGTCACGTACGTCCCGTCCCGTCACGTACGTCCCGTCCCGTCACGTACGTACGTCCCGTCCCGTCCCGTCACGTACGTCCCGTCCCGTCCCGTGCCGCGTCCCGTCCCGTCACGTACGTCCCGTCCCGTACGTCCCGTCCCGTCCCGTCACGTACGTCCCGTCCCGTCCCGTCGTCCCGTCCGTACGTCGTCCCGTCCCGTACGTCCTCGTCACGTACGTCACGTCCCGTCCCGTCACGTCACGTACGTCCCGTCCCGTCCCGTCACGTACGTCCCGTCCCGTCCCGTCCCGTCACGTCCGTCCCGTCCCGTCACGTACGTCCCGTCCCGTCCCGTCACGTACGTCCCGCCCCGTCCCGTCCCGTCACGTACGTCCCGTCCCGTCCCGTCACGTACGTCCCGTCCCGTCCCGTCCCGTCACGTCACGTCACGTCGCGTGGCATCAAACATGGTAGATGGGTCTAGCTTCAATAGTGGGGGTGGTGCTGCTGTTGCAAGTCCAAAAATGGAGCTGGTGTGCAAAACAGGGCATCAAGCATTGTAGATGGTGCTGGCCTCATCAACGGGAGGGGTGGTGCTGTTGCAAGTAAGAGAAGGAGCTGATGTGCAAAAGCAGGGCATCAACCACCACGGTAGATTAATAGGAGGGGGGGGCTAGCTTTACTAATGGGGGGGGGTGCTGCTGTTGCAAGTAAAAACAAATGAGCTGGTGTGCAAAAGCAGGGGATGAAACATTGTAGATTAATAGGCGGGTTGGCTTTACTAATTAATGGGGGGGTGCTGCTGTTTTGCAGGAAAATAGACAAGGAGCTGGTGTGCAAAAGCAAGGCATCAACCATGGTAGATTAATTTTGGGTGGGAATCGCCATAAAGGCGAAGAAAAGGTTTCTAAGTGTTGGTCGGCCGAACCGTTTCTAAGTGTTGAATTTACTGTTTTTATTTTTTTCGTTTCTAAGTGTTTGTCGGAAATTTTGGAAACCAAAACTGTTTCTAAGTGTATGTCCGTCACTATACCTTGGAATGGCTTTTGGGGCCAATCAGGCTTGAACTGCCAAATGACTGCAATGTCTTCAGTGGCCCATGCAGCCGGGGGATGGGCATTGGCCTAATCAAACAAGTGGGAACCAACAATGGGCAAAGTGAAACGAATCATTTGTGGTACAACATCTAATATGGGTGCAGCGCTTGGCTGCTATGAGCGGGCACTGTCTCGGGCCCCTACATCCACAACTGCTGTGGTAGCGGGGTCGTTGGAGCCTTACACAGATTGCACAACTATGCTGTATAGGAACTGAATCCGAGTGGTTTGGGGGAATACGTTGGTTTGCACTGACACATGGGCCAGGCTGGGCTTCCTTGGCGATGCGCTGGCGCCATGCTGAGTTTGCATTCAACATATTGATGGTTTGGCAAGGCAGAGTCGGTTGTGTAGGTATTGAGCAACTCGGTGCCGTGCAGAGCAAGGATTTTGTGCACACATTATGACATTCCATTCTGAGCTAAAACCCCCACCACATTTTTCGGCACCAGTTCAGCATGAGACGCCGGATACTTCGGATGTTGATTTTGGACTTCTTTCACAATCTGTATAACCCATGTGTAATCTTCTTCGAGCACTCAAACCTTGGTACTCTTTTGTTGTGAAGGTTCCCTGACATCCTAGGCGCAACGCGTTGAACAGCGGCGGCCGGACTGTGTTGACACTACCTTCAATGTGCAGAGGAGCCTCTAGGCTTTGCTGGAATGATACAAAGGCCCATGTTGATGTGTTGGCAGATGGAGCATGACCCATCACTAGACCAAAGAACTTCAAAACCCCTACTATGGATCGCAACCTGTAAGGTGTGGCTGTCAGGGAGAAGGGGGTAGGATTGGGGAGTCACATTTTGCCAGCAAAGGGTCAACCAGCGTGCATTGAGAAGACCGAACGTTCTCTTAAATGAGCCCCTGGGCAGCAAATTGCAAGGTTCAGCGTTCACGCTGTATTCTTTGCTTTGGGGTGCCTGCGGCTTGCGGCCCTGGCTGACCCTGCTGAACCAGCGCTTTCCAGGCAACTCGGTGTAGCTCGGCAGCAAAAAACAGTCTGTCCAGCCGGGTCAGTCATGGACAGCAAGGTCATATGCTTTCGGCTATGTAAGTTGGGCTTTCAGCATTTGAGTGATCCAAGGAAGGCCATTTGTCAGAAAGTGGCAATGCAGCAATTTGTATGGTGGCTCAGCTAAAGGGATTTGCAGCTGTTTGACTTGTCGTGAACACGGTGGCCAGGAATCCAATCATTTACTTGCCCACATTTTACGGCTTTAACGGCTTGTATCGTCAGATGCTCAGAGATGTGAGCTGTTGGCAACGTGAAGGTTTCAAGCACTCATCAGGCATCACAGATAGGACCTCCTGTGACGAGGTGGACAAGACATCGATGCTTTGTTGGCCAAAGTTCGCTGGATGCCCAGACATGGATCGCCAAAAAGTGCGCAAGTTTTGCCCCGTTAACAACATGGCCTTTGCTTCCCAAGGAGGTGAATATGCCGACTGCCTGCTCTACGTTTGGAAGGCGGGATGGTCTGTTTCTTTTCGGCAACTGGCTCCTATGAAAGGCAAATGGCTATTGGAGGCCTTTGCAATTCATGAATGTGCATGCTTCGCTTTTAATAACTGCCGTCATTACCTGATTTTTGGTGCAAGATGCAACGGATGTGGATGCCCATGTCCTGTGTGCTGGTGTTCTTGTGTGCTTGCTTGCTTGCTTGCTTGCTTGCTTGCTTGCTTGCTTGCTTGCTTGCTTGCTTGCTTGCTTGCTTGCTTGCTTGCTTGCTTGCTTGCTTGCTTGCTTGCTTGCTTGCTTGCTTGCTTGCTTGCTTGCTTGCTTGCTTGCTTGCTTGCTTGCTTGCTTGCTTGCTTGCTTGCTTGCTTGCTTGCTTGCTTGCTTGCTTGCTTGCTTGCTTGCTTGCTTGCTTGCTTGCTTGCTTGCTTGCTTGCTTGCTTGCTTGCTTGCTTGCTTGCTTTGATTGTTTGTTGGTTTGTTTGCTCTTTCGTTCGTTTGTACGTATGTTTGTCTTTTGTCTTATGGCAGAGCTTGAGTCACCAGAGCTCGAGGCCAGCTTTGAAAGTGCTACCTTTCCCTTTGCGGCTTTGAGCAGTCAGGCTGCCTCGCTGTTCAGGGAAGCTTTTGGCGCACCCTGTCCTTGGTCAGTTGTTTATTGGCCTGTTGTGGTGCCATTCCAGGGAGACTATGGATGTCCACATGTCAGGACGAGCTGTGCGCAGCACAGTTTGCCAGTTTTTCCTGGTGTGAGAAGTTATTCTAGACGGACTGAGTTCATTTGAAGCATGCAGCGCAACAATTGCGTGGTTTGCAGCAAACTGCAAACTCTCCACTGAAACGACCCGCCCGTGGCCTTGTGGTCCGTTCAAGCGTTGATTGCATCCCTGCTTTCCAGGTCTGGATTCCCATGTCTGTGGGCATTTTTGCGTTCGTACCAACGCGGCATCAGGCTGGAGCTAAGATTTGGCAAGGTGTGATTTGACACAGGTGTGCCATAGGTGTGCTGTTTGGTTGGCTTTTCGCAATTACCAATGGTTTGGAAGTTGGGGAATGTTCGTCTACCTTCAGTAACATGGTCACATAGGCGGCAGCCAACTTCCTGGGCAACCTGGTTTGGTGCCTTGGCCAAAGCTAGAGCTGCCTCAGAGCCACTTTAGGTTGCCCTAAAAGAAACTCATGCAAGCATGCTAGCTCGTTAGTTCCCAGTGACCAGAGCCGAGGAACACCCTGCTGTCCCTGTTCTACAACGAGAGCCCGCAGCCCAATGTGCTGAAAGCAAAAGAAGCGCCTTCCCGGCAGCTTGCTTTCTGCTATCAGGGCATGATACATCACGAGAATCGGCTCAAGGACATGGTGTGTTGGAAGTCTTTGGCAAGGGTGGGTCACGGTGTCATGGAACCTGCACTGCAACTCATCCGCAACACACAATGCACGCACGCACACGCAAACACACACACACAAACACAAACACACACACACACACACACATGCTGGCCACCCGAGCCTTAACGCATATTTCGAGGTTTTTCGCTGCGCCAAAGGCATGCGCTGGCTCGCGCTGAATCATTTGCAGGCGGAACTGAAGTTTGGATATTGTTGGGCAAGTTGCGCTGACCTCGACAGGCGGCATTTGGTGGGGGCTCAGGTGGATTACTTTTGCGCAACTGTAATTCAATGAACGTCCTGATGCCTCGAACGGTGTTGGTGCCCAGGCACCCAGGCACCCAGGCACCCAGGCACCCAGGCACCCAGGCACCCAGGCACCCAGGCACCCAGGCACCCAGGCACCCAGGCACCCAGGCACCCAGGCACCAAACTGCTTCAGATCTTTCCAGGTGCGCTGGAGGGCGGCCTCCACGATGGCGAAACGGCTGCCCCGACATCGCCAGCTCCGCAGTGAGAGTTCAGAGCAAAAAGTCGAGACGAAAGAGATGGAGGACGATCAGAAACGACAGGGCAAGGAGAGGCATGCAGAGCCTGTTCACAAAGGCTCGGCTCGGCGCGCGCCGGAAGCAGCAAAGCCTGCAGGTGAGATCAGTGAGGTCCGGCGCAAGAATTCTCTGGGAACTGAGACCTCTTCTTTTGGCTTCGAGATGGCATCCCGTTTTTGTCAAGGGCTCGAAAACTGTCTGATCTCAGCCCGATGCGCAGAGGAAAACAAGTTTTGAGGCTGTGCTTTAAAAGTCGAACGGCCCCAAAGCAGTTACAGTTGAACTCTGCCCGGGCTTACATCCTTGCCGTCCTCAAATGGTGTGAATAAACAGGCAAGTGCATGGTTTTTCATCACGAGAAAGGTCTTGCTCGCCATTCCTCAGGCGGGCCGCTTGCCCGAGTGGCTCTTCGAGGATCGGCCTGTCTGGCTGGAGGCCCAAGCAGAATTTGTTTCTCTCGGCTTTGGCGAAATCGGGTTGCAGCCAGCACGGGTTGGCCTTTGTGGGAAGCTGATTGCCGTTCTTCTAAAGAGCGGCTCTCTGATTCCAGGGTTCCCTTTGAACCGGGAACGGGATGATGAGACTGTGTCTGGAACAATGGAGGATATATCTGTTCAAACAGGTGGTTGGCAGACTTGAGGCAGAAGTTGCCCGAATGCATGTTTGATCCCGGTTTGGGACCTGCAAATGTTTCTCAAACTTGCCATGCCTTGAGAAATCCATCTGAATTCGTTGCAAGCTGGGCTGAGCGGTTCCAATGGCTTCCAGGCCCTGGTCCGCTTCCTGCATGAGCCGGACCTGCTTCTGGCCGGCTAGCTGGCTTTTTCTCGATATGGTTTTGCTATTGGGCCAAATGCGGACATGATGATCGAAATCGACCGTTTGTCTCCCGCTTTCTGAGGGAGCTGCTTTTTGAAAGGTCAAACACAAGACCACAGCTGGAGCGCTTGTAGGACTTGAGTGACATGGGCAGAAGCGTCAGAGTGCCAGCTCCACACTTGCTGGCCCCTGTTGGTTTGCTATTGCTTTAGAGAAGATGGCACGGCCTTCAGTGCAGTTTTGTACAGTCGTTCTCAGCAGAAGCCGTTTGATCCGATGTGTATTGCCTATTTTGCGAGCGTCTGTCAAAGTTCAGTTTGGTTCGTCCTTTTCCTCCAACGCGCACGGACATGTAAGCCAAGGACTTGGCTTTTGGAGGCAAGAAAACAACTTTGCAACTGGCACCACTGAATGGTCTCACTGCTACGAACGTGGCAGGTGAGGCTGGAAAGAGGCGCGAGGAGCACACGCGCGTGACCTCGGTCGGATTTTTGGTTGCCATCCCAGTACCGAATTATACCGGACGATTGATAAGGACAGCCATCAGCCCTTGGAGCATTCTTTAGATCACTGTTGCAAGGATTCCTTGTGAGAGAGCCATGACCATTACCCTGAATTGGTGGGCTTTGACCGAATTTCATTGGGGTTTTGCACTTTCCTCCTTGAGTCCTTTTTAGCATAGCGTTGAACATTTCTCGCTAGGATGACACGGAACACCTTTGTTTTTCATTGCTTGCTTCGTGTGAACAGGGCAATGGCCCAGGATCGGGGATGGATCTTTCCACTGTTGGTTCGCCTATGTGAAAGAGGACGCACACCTGCCCCGATTGGCAAGTGAGAAGCCTTCGAGCATTCATTCCATTCAATCCATTCATTTCGCCATCAATCGGTCAACCTCGTGATTTTGTCTCGCAAGACAGCAAGTGTCAGGCAGCTCCCAGCGCGTGGCACGGCGGCCTGCGGCCGGCGTGCTGCCAGAGATGCAGGTGGGAGGCCCCCAGCTTGGGAACGTCCTGTCCTCGGTGCCAGAGTTTGGTTAGATTGGTCCTTGGAAAAGAAGAACCAGACCACTTCGAACATATCACGATTTTTGAGGGTCCTACTTCAAGCAACACTATTCCTAGCTGACTTAGGTTGGATGCACTTTGGGTCTGAGGATGGTTTCAAATGAGAGGCCTATGTACAGTGACGTAAGAACAAGGCTCAGGGAATTTGGGTTGTACTCATTTTTTGTTAAAGAAGCCCAGGCTATTAGGGCTACAAAACAACAGGCTTTGAATTACATAAGGAGTCCAATGTCGAATGAGATGCTGGTCTTCTGCAAGAGTTTGGAAGGGCCATTCACATGCTTGCTGGATATTCTAGATTTCGCTACTCATGACTTGGACGGAGACTGGCTTGGGAGATCGGCGAAGTGGGTATTGGTATTTGCTGGGCTGCACAGCAGCGTATGCGGAACGCTTCAGTCAATCGGAACACTTCTAAGCGCTGCTCAGAATAGGGGTGAGGCTTGCGGGGAGGAGTATACGTGCAAGGATCAATTCGCAAACGTCGTCTTGCATTGCGAATACATTTCTTTTGTAGACTCTGAACAGCATTTCGACAACCAAGGCATGCGGCATTTTTGAAGGAACCGTGGCCACCGGGGCTGTGGCAAGCCCAAAGGGTTGAAGCAGGGGTGGCATATCTAATGTCCAGTCCGTGGCCAAACATTCGGCAAGTCCCACATTTTGGCAACTCGCAAGTCGGGGCCGCGAGGAGCTGTCGTTGCCCTTTGAGAAGCTGAGAAGCTGGGCCACCGGCGAGTTGCAGCAGGCGAATGGAGGATCTAAATAAGCAGCAAAACGAGAGTTTTGTGGGGATACACTTGCTGGTTGATCAACAGGTGGCTTCTTGCTATTAAAAGGTTTCCCAGGGGATGGAACAGGTGAACCGACCAAACTTGCAAAGGAACCCTGCTTTCCTGCTTGCACTCGTGGCTCAAAGTTGGGGACCAGGTACTTCAGATCCCCACCTCACTCAAATGCGAGGTTTGTATTTTGAAGCCCCGACGTGTTTTGTGCGGGGCCGGACATCTAAGAGCCAACTCAGAGAAAGCGCGCCAGGAGAGGTTTGTGTTTGGCATGAGTTCTAGGAGAAATCAGGGATTTGATGACAGCCACGAGAGGAATTGAGACCAAACGGAAGAGCACGGCACACGGCATACTTTTGCAGTGGTTTTTAATACTTTCTGACTATGTTTTTTCTTGGTGGAAGGCATTGTGGTGGGTTCATAAACCCTATGACAGCGTTGCCATCACACAAGATGCCATCAGATGGCTAACAGCCGGCTTTTTGCACTTTGTTATTTTGAAACAAGAAGCTTTTGATAGGATTTCCTTGCCACCCCCTTTCCAACACATCGCTACATTGCCAATTTACAGTGTTGCAATTCGGATTTGTCACGTTCGTTCCAATGGTTAACGCTGCCGGCTGTTCAGCCCAGGCCGCCGATGAAGGCCGAAAGGCAAGGCCGCTGGCGTTTCGCTACATACGCAGTGTTCTTCTGATTGTGGTCCAATTGTGGTGTGTAATTCACCTTACAGCTGCAGCAAGAGCGAGGGTTGTGGTCTTTACTGCAAGCCGGCCCCGAAGCTAGCGGCCTGGGCATCACCTGGCCTGGCCCCACTGCATCCGCCCCACCAACGGGCCCAGACGAGCAGCAGACATGAAAACCTTTTCCTTAATGATGCATATTTGCAAGGGCCAAGGTAGTCATTGCAGTCGTCTTTCTCCATTTTGCATCCCCCAGCTGCGAAAAGAGCGGTGCGAAACCATTGAGCGCTTCGCGTGCGGTCAAGAACGGTTGGTAATCAGGGTCCTCATGAATGGACCCGTGCTTCTAGGTGGAGTTTTGACAATCACGTGCCTGAAGGGTGCGAACGATGAATTGCGCGCATGAACGGGGAGTTGGCAACCACACGTTCGACCGCAAACACTACGCTTGCCATGCAGACGGAAGGAGCAATGGAAAGCGGAGTGCTTTGAATTGCCCGCCGTGACAGCGCGGAAAGTTTTCTGATGAATACCAAGTTTGAAAAGACGGACTACAAGCTGGTGACCCACAAGGCTGGACTACGTTTCAACTTGCTCGCAATGGCGTGAATTTATTCCTGTGGGTCGGACGTCTTTGCCAACGTCGCCTCAGATCATTTCCCGACTGGTTGCGTAGTCAAATTGAAAGCCACTGCTACGGTGCTTGCGTTCCGCCCGAAGTTTGAGCCACGCCCTAAGCAGGAGCAAAGCGTGGCCAAGATGTAAGAGACCGGTCGTGCTGCATAGGCGGCTGAAGGCCAGCAGCAGCGTGCTGTTCTATGGGAACATGGAAGGAGCTGAAGACTAGTCAAGAAAGGGAGTGCGTGAAGCCTTGCAAACTATAGGCCGATTTCCCATCCGAACACTTTTTCCAAATTTGTCGTGGCATTGCTGCAAACTCAAGTATCAGAAGCCCTTGACGGCCGCCTGCAGAGCACACAATACGGTTTTGTCGCAAGCAATACACCTGACCAGGTGGCTGGTGAACACTGCAGAGCGAGCAGACAGAAAACTCAACCGAGCTTTGATCGACAGGGAAATCGCATTCGACAAGGTTTCCCACTCTGGACTGATGTCTGCCCGGGAACAGATGGAGTTGCGTAGTCTTTTGGCCGGGTTGTGTTGGAAACCGGCTTTTAAGGTAGAAGTGGAGGGGTGAGTGTTGCAATGGTGTGAGCCAAACAACAGGCGATGCCAAGGATGCCTCCTATCCCCGAGCCTTTGTCTCCTTTCGTTCGTCTCAAACTTAACAAAGTATGTGTCAAGAGCAATGACCAAGCAAAGTTTGTTCACGGGTCTAACTATCTTGGCTACGTGCTGAATGACAAAGGGGATCCTAAACGAGAAACAAGCGAGTGAATTTCAGAATGCTTTTTGACCTGGAAACGACTCGTGGAATTCTGCTGCGCCAAAATTCAATCTTGTTTACGAATGGATTTAGTGCAGGTGAACGAGCTCTTGAACACCAAGCTGGACGCATTTCAATCCAGGGGGCTGCGGCAAACTCTGAAGATGCGAACCACACTTGTGAATAGGGACAACTCGAACGCAGCGGTGTTTCAGGCATGCAAACGCAGCCATAAGACAGGTTCATTACACACGGCCAGTTATCCCTGTCAGCAGATACTGTGAGCAAAGAAGACGGAAACCAATAGCAGAGATCATAGTGGCAGATGGTGGCGATCCAATCAGAACCGCTTGCTGCAGTGAGAACCTGGAGCGAAAGAACATGGCAAGAAGCGAGTTGGGAGCCCCAAGAACAATTGGTGGCATTATGGGCTGTATGGATTGTGGGAGGAGGCGAGGGCAAATCAGGTCCAGAGACTTCAACATGTTGCGCAGGATACTTTTAACGCTGCCCATATGAATGAATGTGCATGGATCGGTCTGCTTTCAAAACATGCAAAGTCATTGGCTTTTGGAGGCAAACTGCGCAAACATGGAGAAAGGTCCTTTAAAGGAGCCATCAGGCTTCCAAAGATGGTACTGCATGCACGGCCCCCTCGATCTGTACCGCGCATGTCAACCTGGACCCAGATGTCATAGGGGAGTTCAGTACCAGCAAAACACAAGCCGCAAAAAGACTCCATCAGAGTCAGGGCCATGAAAAATACAGATAAACTGCGGTCGTCGTTCAAATGAATGAGCCAGCAAACTGTACTCACCCGCCCCTGGTTGTACTCCTGGTGGAAACGAGTAGCTGGTTGTTAGAGTGGGCTGCTCGGGATTCGCGCGCCGCATATTGGCGCTGCGACTAGGGAACAAAATGGCCCGAAGTCCTTGGGTAGGTCCGCTCGGTGGCGGTGTGCGGCACCGACAAGTCGCACGCTGCGGATGCTGTGGAGGAGCGAAGGAAGAGCGACAGAGACGTGCGCTTGGCTTCCATCCTGCCTTGAAACATTCAAGGCCCCATTCATCCCCAGTCTTGCGCAGTGTGTCATGTAAAGTAAGGGAGCTTTCATTTGGACTTCTAAGACTTCCAAGACTTCTACCAATGCCAATGACCTCCCCGCCAGGTTCTCCGCTCCATGGGCTTCAAGCGCGTGGCCAATGTGCATACCCAGGCGACGGGATTCGTCGTCCATGGGCCTTCACTTGGCAAATGAAACGCATGGCAAAATCCGTCTACAGGATGCTCATTCACCCATAGCCGGCTTTTTTGTGATTGCTGAACGTACTCGGTCTTTGTCCCCTCCCCTTGTTGGCCGTTTCCTTGTTTTCACTGCCAAACAGTGAAGGTGCTGGTGGGGTGGGAATCGTTTTTACCATGTGCTTTCCATGACACTAGTGCACATGCGAGGCCTGGCCCAAGGATGGGCTACGCACACGTGCAAGGACCGGCACATGCACTCGCACACACGCAGATGTGCACGCTTACAGAACCGCAGGCGCACGTGCTGATTCGTGCGCACAGACACGCGCACGTACACACACACACACACATGCATACGCGCACAGACATGCACATGCACGCGGACAAGCACATGGACGTGCTTGTTTACGCACAAAACAAGCACATGCCGTGGCAAACGGGACGCGGACAAGCGCTACTTTTCTTTGGCATAACTTATCCCCTATGTTAGTTTGGATTAAGGCAGCAGTGGAAAATTCAACCACATGTTGCCGCTTGTTGAATGGCCTACCTGCACTTCAGGAGGAACCAACAGATTGGACCAAACCTTGGGATGCCCATTGAATTTCCCGGAAAAGCCCTCGGAAGTATGCCCTGGCTTGCTGAGACAACGAATCCAGCAGTAAAGCAAGGTTGCGCGTAAGTGCGGGGTTTTGGGTGGGGTGGTTGAACTTTGCATGCTTTTTGGAGGGGAAAGGTTTGATTCCTGCATGAACATCAGTCCAGTCTTCCGTATTTGTTCTGGGCGAGTCACCTGTGCAGAGACAGCTTGCACTTGTGATGAAATTGCCTGAAACTCATTATCTCAGGTAGCTAGCCGGCGGGTGAGCAAGTCACCCAGAAGAATGGGACATGCTTCCAACATTTGGCAGGCAGCTCATGAGTCCATGTCCGGCACGAGGCCTTCCTTCAGCAGCTGCAAGCGATGTGATGCGGAAGAGAGGGCGTGGAGAAAGTGACTGGCTGTAAGACAGTTTGGCAGTGGCTGACGACTATCCTGAGAGTTGACTCTTTCTAGATTAGAAACTCTTTCTAGATTAGAAAGATGGGTCTCAGGCACGGGGAAGATAATTTAATATCTATAAACACATATGTATGTCCATAGAGAGGGAGAAAGAGAGATGAGGAGAGGAGACAGTGAGGTGGGCGGCGGGGAGGAATCCGTTCTACTGCACGACCCCTCAAAGGGGGCAAGTAGGAACACAAGTAGCAAGAGGAGATCACCTCAACGATGTTTGCCTCGTTGTGCGTGCACCTCTTAGATCACCGCACGCCGTACTTTCCAAACGAGGTTCAGTGGCTTCGCTTCTCGAAGATTTCAAAGATTGGCACATCGCTAAGACAGCCAGACAAAGCCTTAGAGAAAAGGATTCCTTTGGGCTGACATCTCATAGGGCTCAGGGCTCGGATTTCAGCAAATCGGGGGCGCCCCTTGTCGCTTGGAACCCGTCCCCGGGTCCCCGGGTCGGGTCCCCATTCCCTTCGTGGCCGGCGCCATGGGCAACGTGAGTGGCGGTGGCTGCATTTGGCGATGGGAAGCATTGGCCAGAAAGGGCTAAGAAGAGGATGCAACGGTCAGGGGTTGCGTATCCGTTTTCATGCTGCTTCTTCCCTTTTGCTTTTGTCGGTTAGCTTGATGTGTCTGAGGCGACCATGTGAGCACCTGCAACGAGGCGCTGTCCAATTTCACTTTTTGGATCAGTTGACGTCTGCTGATTGACGGGATTTGGGGAGTGAAGCATCTTGGGTGCAGCTCAGCAGACGTGTCTGGACCTTGCTCGTGAAGCAATATAATGACCTCTGATCCGGATTGCTGAGCCTCGGAGGTCTCTGCTCACTTTCCACTTGGAAATATCGGCATTCATTTTAGTACCTTGGTGTGTATTTTGCATGTGTATATATCTTTGTCCTTGTTGTTTAAATTTAATCTCTGCGAGCGGAGTCAAAATTTGCCAATGGGGATTGAGCCCTCGGAATGCGGCTCCGTCTCCGCCAGGAGTGTCAGGTCAGGGCTGAAGAGTACATCAGGAGAGGGCGGGTGCCACGCGTGTGGAAATGCAAAGCTTCAAGCAGACAATGGTCACCAAGTCGTTCAGCCCTTTGAACGTGCCAGAAGATTTTGGACTTCGAGTGAAACTTCCTCAGAGGAGTCTTTCCTAGGTGGAGGGATGGGCTCAGCTTAGGTGCCTCACAGGCCGAATAGGCTCATTCAGCATTAGATAGATCGCAGCCCCAGGGGATCTCTGCTTCAGGCATGGACAGCTTCACATGGAGAAGGTCATGAATGATGACAGGTGCTTGTGCCAGTTCACTTGCGAATCGGATCCTGCCTCACCACAGTGCCTGTTTCATCCTAGCATTTCAGGCTGTGATCCCCATATTTCAAAGGGGTTGAGACACAAACACGTGTTCGGGGTTTCAGGAGCTCTCTTTTGCAAGACTGTTCCTCCAACCTGCTTAGCGCCAGTCTCTGCTGTGGTTGCCTGGGCATGATCTTGTTCGAGCCGGCCAGCATCTAGTGCTCAAGTTGAGTGCCGATCCAAAAAACAAGAACCAACCTTCAAGTCAGGCTTTTGACCATGCAGCCCGTATCAAGCCAGTCTGGTTGTGATCAATTCAGTCCCGTAATTTTGCCTAAACCATTCAAGAACGAGCTACCCGTCACGCCACAAGCCATCAAAGCATAGCAGCTCTGCAGAGTCGGGCATGGCTGCCATAGGCAGTGCACAGGCGCCATGTGCGGTGTCTCACCATTCCCAGTTCGCAACATTGGGGTGGGTGTAAGGACTTGGGGGCCGTTTCCCAAAGAATTTGCGGATGTGGTCAATCTCCACTACTGGCAGCCCCCCTCCCCAAGCCTCTCGTGGATGCCAGCGTGGCCAGGTCTTTCCAGAGTCGGATTTTCTCCGAGGTGCGCTATTCAGCCGGTGGGGCAAGGGGAGGCAGCAAAAGTCGGTTCGGCCAGTCAGGTGATGAGGCCGAGACGAAGCCGAAAGCAGAAAGAACGGCTTGCTTCTGCATCTATGACAACGAGCTCCTGGGCACACTATGGCGCAAGGGAGTATAAAGGAATGACGGGTCAGCACTATTCCAGCAGAGCTGTTTGTTGTCCTTTTGGTTGCCTGATGCCCGAGGTCGGATCCGAGATTCTGCATTTGGAAGAGTGGAAAGTTACTTCCATCGCCAAATATTGCCAGCCACAAGGGGAAGGCGGGCCTGTGCGGCTCAGGAGTTTCTCAAGGCTGCATGCTTTAGAAACAAGAGCGCTCAATGGCTTGCGATGTGAAAAGCTGCAGCATTTTTGGCTTTCCGAACCCCTCTCAGCCTTGACATGCGTACATTTTTTCATGCCCTCACCGGATGCCCCTTGACCGTCACCCTTGAGGCGATCCTTGCCCTGGTGGCTTCCTTGGTTCTGGCATTGGGGGTCGCTACTTGGCTGCAAGCTGGCACCCGGTTGGGCAATTTGAGCCTCATGTTCGTAGGCAAAAACAAGGACACATCTAGGTGAACATGTTTGAAGTCCATGGTTCTTGAGACATGCCTTGCTCGCCATCCAGCGCCAGGTAGGCGTGATTTTCTTGGTCCGCATGGGCGGCGCGCCTGGCCTAGGCGAGGGACAGCGATGTGATCGAAAGCTGGCGAGCCTGTCTTGGTCGGATCTCAACTAACAGCACGCATTGTGGAATAAGTGCATAGATTATAGTACATACAATACATACACAACCATACGCAGCAGTGTATCGCTTTACCACTTTTCGATACGGGTCTTTTTATGTCCTGCCAGTGCATGGTCTCTTGAGGAGACTTCTTGAGTCTTCATGTCTAATCTGCACTCAAGCCATCGTTCTGTTCACATGTATCTCTAGTGTTTGCACATTTTCTCTGTCAATTCGCAAACTCGACTCTATGTTAAATCATATTTTGCAGCTTGATCCCTCCGAGCCAAATTGTATGGTTAAATTCGTAAAACCAAAAGTGAGCTTTCCTAACCTAATTCTTACGTTTCCCAAGTTTCTTGAATTGCTTGCGCAGTTAAGTTTGATTGCGCCTTAGATGTTCCAGACTGCACCCTTCAATTTGCCCCGTCTAACACCTACATGAATCGAGTGTTCGACTTCCAGGACGCCAAACCTTGCGAGGTTTTCAGCACACCAAGACAAAGTAGTAGACAGTGACGATGCCAGAACAAAGCATATTGGCAAACCAGTACCTTCTATTGATCAGTTTTCCCTTGTCAACGCAATGGTTTGAAGTGGATATGATCCTGTTCGAATGGCATGATGAACAATAGGCTATTTATCTCGCTTTGCTCCATGTTAGCTAATTTCCACAATCCCGTCGACCTTTGGGAGGGTTGGATTGGTGTTGCTGAGGACGGGCGAAGGCGAGGTGGTCAGCTGACATGTAGAAACCCTAAACACGTTTCGAGTTGATGGCATCAACGTAATTGATTGAAATGACATCTAGCAGAACAAGTCCCGTTTTGGACAAACAGTGCACGCTCACAGTTTAGGGATCCTAATCAAACTCGTGCATGCGGTGTGGGCTTGTTTGGCCGTTGGTTCACTCGGTTACTCGCACTGAGACCCACTGAGACCCTGATGCATCATGGGGGCCATAAATGCTCCGGGAGCTGCAGGAGAGCGCGTAGCCATAGGACTTAATCGTGCTGTCTACCATCGAAGGTGAACTTTGGATAAAGGAAACGTGTCAGAGCATACCCCCAACGCGCATATACCTTGGACATGTGTACAGTGAATATTTTCGTGGGTTTTTTGAGGATGTGACGCAGTGATGCAATACCATTTGCAGCAACAGAAACGAAATCATCGTTCGGGGAAGACTGCAGTTGCACTAAAAAGCAATGACTTTTGAGGGGTGATGCGTCAGACTTCAGCTGGGCTAGCATGAACATCATCGTTGTTTGCGTTGATAGCTTGCACGAGGAAGGTGTGTTGATATTTGGCGTTCCCTTGGGGGACTTCTGGGGATGTTACTTCCCAGCCCCGCGTGCCAGCCGACCGAAAGCGGGCGCCGCCGGCGCAAGGCGGGGCTGCTCAGGACGATCACGAAGCATGCGGTTGCTTGTTGTTGATTTGGTTGAGTTGAAACATCTGAAAAACCAACCAAGGACATGAACCACCAATTGTGGTGATTGCAGGGAACACCCGCACATGTCTTCAGTGTTCGCTGCAACATTTGTGTGGCTTCCACCGTATGGCTCCAAATCCAGGACTACTCATCTTAATCAAGTGAGAATCAAAGTTCTCATCATGCCATGCTGATGTTGTCCTGGTCCGTCTTTCTAGCCACTGTGGTGTGGGAATGATGTGGGGGTAGTCCCACCCCCCGCAATTATTTTCAGAAATCACACAGGCAAAGCAGGGTTGCGTCTTTTTTGCCCCGTGATTCTTTTTGCCGGCCAGGTGCGAGGCGATTGCTCCTAGGCGGGAAGCGTAGAGCGACACTAAGAAAAAAGTGACGATGCCATGTTGACGGATGGACGGATGGGCAGACAGACGGAACTGAGTGACTTACTGGCTGGCTGGCTGTCTGGAAACCATTTGCTGGCTGACTTCACAGAAGGGCTCATATTTTCTCTGTGTTCCAGTACTTGGCACATGTTCAGTGTATCAACAAGACTTCAGCTGCGAAGCTTAGATTTAGATATGTGTCCATCAGCTCCTTGCTCAAGGTGATAACTTATGAGATGGAATGAGCAAACCGAGTTCGCCTATGTGCCAGGCATGGTGAGCTGACGGGCACGCAGCTTCCCTTTCCCTGCGAAGTGGACGGCTGGTGCGCATGTTTCTTTGCAGGATCCTTTTAGCGTGGAGAGCACAGTGGAATTTCCAAGAAATTGCCACACTCAACACTGCCAAGCCTTTTGAACTGGTGCAGCACACCAAAAGTTCATTTTATTCAAGGGAACTTTAGCCTGTGGAGCTTTCTGAGTCTGTCTGCAGTGTGCGTGCCCGGCGGCTAGAAGGCGGCAGCTTTTTCTTTGAGCCGGTGCGCCAAGCGGCGCAAAAAAGACGCGGCACAAAAGAGGAATGGCGCTTTGTGTATCCCTGGTGCAGGCTAGCGCGGCGAAGAGAGCAGTTGCGACTTTGCTTGGCATGAAACCAAGGTATTCTTGACTTTAATTGTGAAAGGAAGCCTGCTCTCATTGCCGTTTGGTTCTAACCCTGGAAAATCCATTGCTCCGTTGGAGACTTCAATTTTCCAAGCTACAGTCGTTCCGTAGCTCTGTCAAGCGAGCTCTCGCAGGTTTGTGTTCGGTGCCTCTGGTTTGTAGGGCCTTGTGTCATCTTTCTGGGATCAACCCTCGTGGCTGGAACCGCCACCTTGGGAGCACTGCTCTGGGAAACCGCACAAATCAGCCAGGCGCCGCCTGGACAAGGACAAAGACCCCAGAGAGCGGCCGCGCAGCTCCCGCAGTGGCACACAGAATGGGGCACTCTGCTTTTGCTTTGGCTTTTCGTGCTTGGAATTTTGTTTGTCGTTTTGCACAATGAAGATGAGTGAAGGGCGGAGCGGGGCATGGGTGTCCTCCTTAACATCCAGACATAGATTTAGCATCCAGTGGTTCTGATATCAGGAACCCAACAATTTCTTGCTGTAGTGAACACGGTATTCTTTTCCGACATCACAAATAGCGGTGCTTGCAGAGTTTGTCATGGGCATTGCATAGGACAGACAAAGACCAGTGGTTCAGAAATCAATTCCTCTTACGACCAAATGCATGTCGCAACATTTCCTCACGGACATTCCTTCATTTGCATTTGAGTGTCCTTTTTGCATCTCTGTTGAATATTGGTACAGTATGTAAACAATGCTGAAGTACTCTTATCGTGGGCAAGCTCCTGAACATGTCTTGGGCCCCAGGTCCCACGATTTGCAATTTGTTTCCAGCATTGCCAGCAGTTCGGCTTCCTTTGATCTTGTGATGCGGAGCTACACCGAAGCATTTCTGGCATCATCCCAAACCTGGCAACTTCCCAGAGTTTTTTAAACAAACTGGGGCAGACCTGCCGTTGATGTCTGGCTTCCTGAGGAGTTCTGTGATATTAAGTGATTTGTCCCCTCAATCAACAAGAAAACCTCTTCAACCTTTTCCTTGTGAAGGCATGTAAGCCTTTCTGTTGGGTGGACCGTCAGTCGCTCAGGCCCGGGCCGCGAACGGAAGAGCGAGAAGAGGCCCAAGGTGGGTGTTCATGAGAAGGGTAGCTGTCCAAATACGCTCCTTGTGTCATGCTTTGAGGTGGGTCCTTACATTTTGGCTCATAGCCAACTGACAAGCGATACAAGACGCTAGCATGCAATGCTTGGAGTTAAACAGCTTGGATTGATTGTCAGCGGGTTGCCTTTCAGGTATCCTGGGCCAGTGACAACCCCATGAGGGAGTACCGGCCGAAAGAGGCGCGCTCAGGGTGCGGGGGCAAGGCGTCTAGATTCCAGGCCGCTTCTCTCGTTCAGGTGCTTCTAGCGGTGCGTTGGCCTCATCTAAATGATTTTTGAGCAAAGTTGATGCGACGTGCGGTGTTGCAGAACATTACGCGGGACATGCCTAGACCCATTGTGACAACTTGTGCAGCATGAACTCAATTCAATGGAATGTTGTTCACATGGACGTTCGCTCTTTGAATGCATATATTTGCGAAGGATGTCAATGGCCGGTTGAGAACTCTCCATCAAATAATGGTGCTTTTGGCAAACACCGAACTTGGCAGCCTCCCTTGCCTTCAAGACTGCTTTCATTTCCTAGTCATTGCGAGATGAATTGCTGGCATTGGCAGAACCGAACCAGGCCGCCTCAGAGCGCGCCCAAGGCTGGCATCGAGTCTCCATGATTCTCCATTGATTTGTTGGCTTCGGGACTTGCCTCGCCGGTCGGCCTAGGGCACCATGCCGGACATGAGAGGCTATTGTACCTATGAGCTATGCTTTCGGGCAATCCTTGCACACAAATGTCGATTCCTGTTGAAAGCCAAGGTGATGCAGTTTCTTTCTAATTTGTTGCGCCCAAGTTGAGCAGGGCAGTGCCAAGATGAGAGAGTCGATTCATGCAGAGCTGGTAGCGAGCTAGCGTCAGGTCCAGGCGTGCCGTCCCAGGACGGGCGAGTTGTGTTTTTCATGATGTTGCCAGCCTTAGCAGAATTCCAAATCTGTGCCAGCATTCATCACGTACCGTCAGACGAGATCATTCTTTGCGGACTTTGAGAGGGAACCCAAGGAAATCAACCATTTGGAGGTGTCCCTAATCCATGTGCTTGTTTTACTCCCAAATCTGTTTCTGAGCAAGACTCATTGGGCACCCTCGGGCACTCATTGCATGTTACCGTGCCGAGGAGCGCGTCCCACCTCCGGCTCCGGCGCTTGGCCCCGGCTTTGACCCCTGGGCGTGGGCCCGGCAAGGAGTTTTCCAAGGCTCCCAACGAAAGGAAGAAGAGAGGTCTGGAAGTCTAGGCAGAAGACGAAAAGACTTTCGGGTGCGGTTTTTGTCACCAAAACATGTTCCAGCGCTTGTCTGTACTGTCATTTTATGACCACTTTAGTAGTGTCCCCGGCATGCGCGCCAACGGGTTTTGGGAACATGCATTTGTTCACGGGTGCAGGGAAAATGGGAATCGGCCGGGTTGGGATGGCAGTGTAATTCTAGGAAAGAAGGACACGGGAGTATTGGACCTTCCTCAACTGGCGGTTGAACTTAGAGAATAATCGGTCAGCCTTCGTTGGTGAGTGGACCAGGGAAACATCTCCCTCAACCCATAATCCCCATCCATGTACATAAGTCATACTGACACGAACACGTGGAATAGTGAGAGTGAACCTGACAACATTCAACTTTACAGCCACTTGTAGTAAAAAAAAACAAAAAAAACATGTAAACAATGACCATAACAACGGACGACGGAGTCGACGAGGAATACGATGACTACTACTTCCGTCACCGCCACCACTAGTACAACTAGAACTAGTACTACTGCTACTGCCGTACTACTACTACTACTACTACTACTACTACTACTACTACTACTACTACTGCTATTACTACTACTACTACTACTACTACTACTACTACTACTACTACTACTAATAGACTATTACCACTACTACCACTACTACTACTACTGCTACTGCTACTACTACTACTACTACTACTACAACTACAACTACAACTACTACTACTACTACTACTACTACTACTACTACTACTACTACCAATACTGCTACTGCCGCTACCACTACTGCCACTTCTTCTAGCTACTACTGCTACTAGTGCTGCTACTACCTGCTACCTGCTACCCTACACATGCTACTGCTGTTGCTACTGTTTCTGCTACCTTACTGCAATTGCTGTTGAAGAGGTAATATAGTTAAACACATCATGATGATATCCATCACAATGCCAATACCGATCGTCAGGATCATGGCTAGGAGGTTAGGGACCCATTGTTTTGTTAGAGCCAAACGGAAAGGCACCCGCAGAACCACCAGGCCGTAAGCTACGCGCACACACACACACACACCTCTGAATGTTAGATGCTGTTTTTGAGGACCGACTTGCATTTGTGGTAAGTACGCATATTTTGGCACTTACTTTTCAAACAGGTCTACGTCAGTTCTTGGGTGCCATTGTCTTTCTGAAATCACTTCTCCACTACGCAGTGTTTGGTGTCTTGTGTGCAGCGGAGCTGCCAGGCCTGAGGGCGTCTACGCGAGGCGCCGCCGCGAGGAGGAGCGATCCACGTACATGTTCACAGGGTCACGGAGGTCTGCATGAGCTTGGATACTCCCGATGTTCGAGCCAATGGACCGTCTTGCTTTGCGTATGCTCTTCCATCAGGAGCAGTTTCTTGAGCAGTTTAGTGGGACGTGGCTCAAAGTGTTTACGATTTCCCTCCATGGGCCATCGTTAGCCCGTCGGTGGCCTGGCTGGTGTCAGGCCCGTCAGAAGCAGAAAGAAGGCCGGATCCTAGCAAATCTGTGCTGGTGGGGTGTTCGGGTCGTATTTCTGGCAGTTGAACAGTGCCCCTTCTGTGCCAAGGAATCAGCCTTGTCAGAAAGCACTAGAGTTTGCTGGAAGTTTGAAGAGGCAGAAATCGAGGTGTGCGATGCTACAGATTACAAACGGGCCAGGCTGGCTGGGGGAATTGTTGGTAAAGCAAGGCAAGATCCGCGCTTCCAAGGCAACCGAGCCAGCGCCAGCCGAAGGGCTGAAGAGGGGCCTCGCAATGAGGAGGGGAATCAAATGGCGCCCGGCCGTGACGCTTTGGAAATGTGCGGCCAGGAGGTTCAACCCAGATTTGACTCGCTTTCCTACTTTCCAAGCATGTTTTTCCGCTGAAACACTCATACTCAGAATATCTTTAGAAGCCCTTTCCATCAAGTTTAGGGCTGCTGGCAGACTTAGCTATCAACCGGTGGGCGTCGGCTCTCCTGCCGCGGGCACTTGCGTAGGTTTGGAGCAGAACGAGCGTGGTCCAAAGCATCATCATCTCATCATCATCATCATCATCATCATCAGCAGCAGCATCATGATCATCAAACTCACCTAAAACAAGCCCAGGCATGTAAAGACATGTATTTGCAACTGAAGCATGAGATAGGCTGCATCCTCAGGGATGGCAATGCTGGGAAGGACACTCAGATTGGGACCAGCATCAGCGAGTTCTTGCGTCGTGGGGCCGGCCCCTCAAGGGCATGCCAGTCCGCTTGAGGTGGTGCGCTCGTGTGAGCCTCTTAGTAAACCTTTGACTGTTGGTGGCTCGGAGATGAGCATCCATTTTGGATTCCTTACTGACGGCGCAATTCAATGACTCAGAATGCGTGTTTTAGAGTCCTTGTGAGAGAAGCTGAGTCACAAGTGTTTTTCAGCTGTTCGAAGCGCTGTGGTTCGGC